TAAATACCTTTTCTCATCAGAAGTTAGAGCAGCCTTGTGGCTTCTATCAGTGTCCAGCCGAGCACTAGCTAAAGCTTGTAGGAGGAGTTTTTCTTTCTGCTGTAGGAGGATGCAAAACCCCTGACCTCTGTCTGACCAATGTTCAGTCTGTCTTATAAGGACATAAGAGGTGGTCGCTTGAAAAATGGGAGGAACAGAGAAGAGAGGATCAAACAGCCTTTTTACTTAATGCAGAGGATTAACCCCTTAGGTTCCACAGTGAGTATAACAAGCATGCTTTACTGCATATACAGACTGATTTTACTGTTGTGGGGTTAGTAACACTTTAAGTACAAAATGCAGTAGCCATTACTAATTAGTAACTCTTAGATTGTAAGCTCCAAGGAGCAGGGCCCTCCTAACCCTCTTGTATTGAACTGTATCGTTGCTGTATTGTCTCCCTTTATATTGTAAAGCGCTGAGCAAACTGTTGACGCTATATAAATCCTGTATAACAATAAAAATACTAATGTGGGTTAAGTAAAGTGAATTCTAGCTAGTTGCTACAATCACTGCTCATTACACCTAGTGGTTTGCTTTTAGCACTTCATTTTCAATAAACCAGATAATATTCATCATTCTCTAGCACACACATTTAAATTATGTGTTACAGGGACAGATAGAAAAATTAAAACTTAAAAAAAAGAATACCAAAAAGTCGAACAGAGCAGAAAACTACAGTGCAATACTTACTAAAAGCAAATGCTCATTATTGTACATTTATGGATTTGTCGATTGTGAAGGATTTGTATACTCCAACAAAAAAAAGTCCAAATCAAATGGATACATATCTTCTATCTTTTTTTTTTTTTTTTTTTTTTTTTTATTTCTGATTTTTTTTCATTTTTGATGAATTTCTAAACCTTGGACAGAAATACATGTGTAGTATATAACAACGGAAATAAAATGACTCGTTGCTGAAATAGTTTAAATTATGCTTTATTAAGATAAATTGCAAGTGCAATCTTGTGCACAATAATTGTAGAGACACTGCAGATGTGAAACAAACATAAATTCTATATTGTTTAAGCATCGTTTGGCACATAGTTATAGTTTTCAACTTGTTTAGTTTTAAATGCCTAAATGGCTTCTTCATGCCTTAATACCATTGGACAGCTGTAGTGCTACCGAACACAACAAATGAAGTGGACTTACTGTACAGGCATTTCTAGTAGCGAGCAGCAAAGAAGCATGCTTAATACCGCTTTTAAATTAAATAGTAATTTAATTGTTGATAAGAAGCTTTACAATTCATTTTATGGTTGAATTGTAGATTGTTTAAACAGCATTTCTTTGCCTATTAAGCTAATTCAATGTATGCCATGCTTATTTTAACTTTGTAAAGCAAAGGACATTTTTTTTTTGTATTAATTAGTTGACACTGTTTGACCTGAATTCACAGAGAGGGCTTCTAATGAATATCAGACAATGAAGTAGAGAATAGGAAACAAATATTCTGATGATCGTAATAATACTTAATCCTCAATATATTAAACTGCTGGCATTAGGTATTGTGTGCGATGTCACTGGGTAGTCTCTGATACCTTCTGTGCTGGAGAATGTTAGAATTTGCAGGTTGGAATAACTCCATAGTGCAGGCTGGAAAACACATTCTCATCACTATTGTTGCTCTGCTCTTTCTCCATTAACCACTTCAAGTCCGGACACTTTCACCCCCTTCCTGTCCAGGCCACTTTTTTCAGCCTTCAGCGCTATCACACTTTGAATGACAATTGCGCGGTCATGCAACACTGTACCCATATGAATTTTATAGCATTTTTTTGAGACAGAGAAAACTTTATTTTGGTGGTATTTATTCACCACTGGGATTTTTATTTTTTTGCTGTAGAAATGAAAAAGTCCAAACATTTTGCAAAAAAAGTGTTTTTCTTATAACAGTTTGCAAATAAATGATCTTTCTTCATAAATCTTGGCCAAAATGTATTCATCTATCTTTTTAGTAAAAAAAAAAAAAAAAAAAAAAACAAAATTAGTTTATAACCAAAAATTATAAATTTTCAAAAATGTTGACTCTTTTTTTTTATATTTATTTTTTTCTTTAACATACTGTCACCCTAGCAGTACAGTGTCACCATAGTGACACTGTACTACTTGTGGGGGGGGGGGGGGGTGATGAAGATTTTTATTTTTTTTTTATTTTTTTTTTTTTTACACTGATTGCTTTTACACCCATAAAGGCTGTAAAAACAATCATTTCTCCTTCTCTCTGGATGCAATCTTGCAGCCATTGGGAAATACTGTGTGAGCTGTGATTGCTCACAGCTTGTCACATGGTACAAGGCTGTTGTGAATAGCCTTGTACTATGTGACCCCTGTGATCATTCACAGATTTCACAAGTAGTAAGCAATGATGTCAGGAAGTGACATCTTGATTACTACAATTCATGTGATCACGGATTGCCCAATCGGTGATCACATGATCGGGACCTCCCAGGTAGGACATTTATAAACAGATAACCCGCTCCTGTAATGCTCCCATCCGGCTGTTTATATACATGGGCCGGACAGGAAGTGGTTAATATAATGTCAGTGTTTGACGGGTCTGCACCACTTCACCCCCCTTCTTCTAGGGTCTTGTAATAGATTTTCAGAATTGAGTTTTCAACTGTTTCCAGGGATTTCTCTCATATTGGAACAATATCCTCTCCCTTCCTGTTGAGTCTTTAGGACAGGAAGTGAAGGGAAATCTCTTGATGCAGGCATTATGGCTATTTGGTGACTCAGACAGAGCTCTGAGGATGAGGGTTCACCCTTGAAACGCATTAGCTGGTGTCTGCTCCATGTGACGTCAGATATTTTGCTGGAGCTATTAGTTGTACATCTGGCTGGAATTGGTTTGTGTTTTATATCTATGAGCTTATCACTGAGCATGGTTTTTGAGTATATATGTTGGTGTTTATTAATTCAAAAAAATGGTACTGTGGGTAAGGCACATGGTTAGTACACCCTTCTTGCTTCTTGTCATTTACATAATATGCCAGATGTCGTTATTCTCATCCCATGCAGTATCGATATGGCCATATGTTTTCACTGAGGCCATATGTAAGGTCACAATATAGTCACTCTGATTCAATTAGTGAAGAGCAAATTGAAGCAAATCCACTCCATCAGCAATTTTTTTGAATAAAAGCTTATATTTTTCTTTTATTCCCTTTGGCAAGTAAAGCACTGTTACTGCTCATGCACACTGGGCATTTTAATAACGCTGGTAACGTTAGCTTTGTTCAAAGTCACATTAAAAATGTTAGTTTTTCAGTGTTGTTAGCTTTTCTGTATTCGTGTTTAGCAGTGTTTTACCACTTTTTTTTTTTTTTTTTGAGCAAAACAAATTACATTTTTTTAAAGTAAAAATAAAAAATTTTTTAGTAAAAAAAAATGGCCAAAAATGCTGAGTTGCCACGATTTACCGTGATTTTCCATGTTTTTCAGCGTTAGAGCATTTTTACAACTAACAAACTCCTCTAGAAACCAACTAGTTCTTTTTTGTTTTTTTTCCCAGCCAAAAAACGTCCCTGCCGAAAAAAACATTGATTACAGTCTATGTGTGCATGGACACATAGGATAACATGCTGGGGGGTTTACTGGCTGTAGGAAAAAAATTCAAAAGCCAGAAACAGCAGCTGTAAAAACATCCAGTGTGCATGAGGACTTAATCAGCTGAGTCTTAAAAAGTGTATGAAGGCTTGGCTGATATCAGTGGCCACAAGGTAGAGCTGCAGCTTAGATCAGATTACCTTATATGTCTGCTTAAAGTATATGTAAACCCAAATGTGTTTCCTAGGTCTCTATCCAGTTGACGTCTGCCCTATATCAGCTTTACTGCTACAGGGCGGCCACTGTGTGCAGAATCATGTAGACATTTGGGATTCTGCACTTACTGGTTGGGTGTACCACTGGGACTAATCACATCAGGAGCAGATCAGCAGGTGCCGGCCAATGGATTACCATCTGCAACCATTGATCAGTGAAGAGAAAGGATGAACACAGCTCTGCCTATGTAAACAAGGCGGAGCCATGTCCTGTCAGCAGCGATGTGCTGAATTTTATTTCCCTGCAAAGCACATTCCTTAGGCTAGGTTCACATCTGTGCGGGTGGTGCCGCTGCGGATCCGCACGAAAATCTGTGCAGCCACACCACCCTCACTGAAGAATGCAGACCCGAGGGCGGGTATCATTAGTTTTAATGGCACGCCGCCCGCACTGGAAAATGCAACCGTGCGGGCTGCTATTTCAGAAGGAGTGCAGGGACTTCTTCCCTGTGTGTCACAGGCACAGGAGTCCATTCAAATGAATGGGTTCTCGTGCTCATGCAAAATGTGGCCCGCACTGATGCATATATTTGTTACTCGGGGCTTAGTAAAAACACAATATAGTACACATATAAACACTGGCTGGGCACACAGTTAACCCTTTGATCACCCTGCATGTTTAACCCCTTCCCAACCAGTGTCATTAGTAAAGTGACATTGTATATTTTTAGCACAGATTAGTGTTACTGGTTTGCACAAAGTGTCAGTTAGTCTTCAGCAACATTGCAGTCGCTGACCGCCGCCATTACTGGTATAAACATAAATAAATAAAAATTCCAGTATATATACCATAGTTTGTAGATGCTATAACTTTTGCTCAAACCCATCATTCTATGCTTATCGGGATTTTTTTTTTTACCAAAAATATGTAGCAGAATACATATGTGCCTAAATTTATGAAAATATTTGATTTTTTTATTGGATATGTTTTATTGCAGAAAGGAAAAAATATTGTTTTTTTTTTTTTTTTTTTTTCAAACTTTTTTTTTTTATAGTGCAAAAAATAAAACCCAGTGGTGATCAAATATCACCAAAAGAAACCTCTATTTGTAGGAATAAAATGACATGTTTAATTTATGTACAGGGTTGCATGACCGCACAATTGTCAGTTAAAGTGGCACTAAACCCTGCATTCACTATATCTGGTCTCTCACAGTACACAGATCATGGAAATGCAATTATTTTAGTAAATGTAAACTGCTAAATACCTTTTCTCATCAGCAGTTACAGCAGTCTTGTGACTTCAGCAGAGCACTGGTTAAAGCTTGTAGGAGGAGTTTTCTTTCTGCTCTAGGAGGATGTGAAACCCTTGACCCTCTGTCTGGACAGTGCTGATTGGTCCTGTGCTGATCACATGCACTCTCCCAAGAAAAAAAAAAACCATGTCTAGCAAAACACACCAACCTGAGCATGTACATGTGACTATGGATTCAGTCTGTATCAGGTGGTCATTTCAGAGAAGAAAGGATCAAACAGCCTTTTTACACAATGCAGAGTAATAACCCCTTAGGTCCCACAGTGATTATAATTGTAGCACTAGCATGCTTTACTGCATATGCACACTGATTTTACTGTTGTAGGTTTAGTAACACTTTAAAATAATGCAGTGCCGTATAACAAAAAATGGCCTGGTCAGGAAGAGGGGGTAAATCTTCCGGAGGTCAAGTGTATACGGAAGTGTCCAAACCCCTGTCTAGTTTTAGGGCTAATTCACACCAGTGCATTGATCTTGATTTGAGTGCAGCTGTAAAACGCAGATCAATGGAAGAACATCTGAAAAACAATAATTTCCAATGTGTCCTATTCACACCATAATGCTGCATTGATCTGCGTTGCGCTAAAATGCATCATGTATGCATTTTAGCACAACATTCCAGAAGTGGCAGGAATGCTGGGCGCACTGTATTGCTGTGCAAGGGGACTGTTTTGAAGGTGGATAGTGTGTAAACGTAGATAAATAAAATACTTTTTTTGTAAACTGCTAGTCTCAAAACATTTTTGATGCCAACTTGTATATTCTAGAATGTACCCATCTATAGACGTTATACTGGTAATGGCGGTGATCAGCGACTTATAGTGGGACCGTGATAGTGTGGCAGGCAATCTGGCACTAACGGACACTGGTTGGGAGGGACATTTCCTAACTGACAGATACTGGCATTGCTAGTGACACTAATACAGTTATCAGATATAATAATGTACACATGACACTGGCTGGGAAGGGGTTAACACCTGGGGCAATCAAGGGGTTAAGTCAGTGGTTCTCAACCTTCCTAATGCCGTGACCCTTTAATACAGTTCCTTATGTTGTGGTGACCCCAAACCATAAAATTATTAACCCAGTAATTATAATTCATGAGTGTCGTTTTACCTCCAATACTGCTGCTTTCAACACAGCAGCTGCTTTCAACACAGCAGCTGCTTTCTACACAGTAGCTGCTCTTTACACATCGGAAATATGTGTTTTCTGATGGTCTTAGGGGACCCCTGTGAAAGGGTCGTTCGACCCCCCCAAAGGGGTCGTGACCCACAGGTTGAGAATCACTGGGTTAACTGCTTAAGAAAAGTGCTGCTTTTACTCACAGATCTGACTGTTTTTTCTCACTGCTTTTTAGGGAGAAGAAACAGCCAGATCTCTCTTCTGTGCTGTGATTGGACACAACCTATCAGCAGGTTTCAGACAAAATCATTGGCTAAAACCTGCTGACAAACTCGTGCTGTGTCCAGTTGACGTATGGGTATGTCGCCTAGCCTTCGTGTGCTGTCCGCCGCAGTACATGTACAGTAATTTGGGCAGGGGGGCAAGCAGGTAAAGAAACTGCAGAGGTTTGAATTTTATTTTTTTAAATAACAAACATATTATACTTACCTGCTCTGTGCAATGGTTCCAATCCACCCCTTCTTGGGTTCCCTACCAGCACCCCTGGCTCCTCCGCCAAATGCCCTCATAGCAAGCCACTTGCTATGGGGGCACTTGTGCAGGCTCAATCCCAAGCTGAACTGTGTGCGTCGGCTCTGATCTCTGCTCAATAGCTGTAATTTCATAATGTAGAGAATGCATTAAAGTGAAAAACCTTCAGCCATTAGAACCAATTTAATATTTGTATATGTAAACATATACCAGAAGATTTATTCGGTATGTATTCCATAGAGATACGGCTTAAAATTAATTATATGATAGTAGCTGTCTGAAGAGCTGTTGTGGAGGCTCATAGTCAGATTCATCCTCTTAATTTTCCTTTGCAAATTGTAATAGTATGGAGATACTGCCACATTTTAATAATACAAAAAAATACAAAAATCAAAAACCAAGAAGCTTTATGTACTTTTATTGGCGATTTTAATCCTGAAGAAAGTACTGCCTTAAGTAGCTTGCACATTTGCCAGTGACTTCTCATAAATAAGAGGCCTATGGATTTTATTCTGTAAACAGTTGGTGCCTCATGGTTCCATGGAGCTGATGCATCAGAACAGTGAAAATAAATCTTGCTTTGATGATGATCGACTAACATAACCTGAAGAAATATGATTGTACCTCAGGTGAGATGCTGCTAATTTCACTATAGCCTTGGGTGATAATAGCTTTACCATATGTGGAAAGTTTCCGGTAATGTGTAAAAGCACAAAAATCTGAGATATTGTTGGAAAAATACATAATTTTGTAATTATATCCATTGAAGCAAAACTTTAAACATACAGTATTTATGCCGTATATTCCTTTATCTTATTCTGCTGTATTTTATTCTCCAGTCATCAAGAGTAAAAACGACATTACCTATCGAATATTGCAAATTTCACATCTGATAATCAAATCGTAATCATGGTCCTGCATTATGAACACATCACATAAACATTGTTTGTAAATAATATATCCACGCCTGCTTTTCAAAGTTGCTGCCATCACAGCCTGATCCATGGATATGTAGATTGTCTTCTGGAGCTGCCATATTTGATTGGCCTCAGTTGGCAAAGACGCTTCCTTTTTGGTTTGGTTGTGTCGCTCATTTGAAGTTTCATGAGATTTTGGACACAGATATTTTCACTTAAGCTGGCCATACACGTATAGATTTTCGTTCGAGAATTTTAGTTTCAAGAATATTCATTTGATTTTCTAATCGTTAGTGGGGTCAAATCGATGTTTGTTTTTGACCGCAGTGACGGGAAAATTCGAAGGGGCAGGAAGGAAATATAGGAGTATATGTGGTTATCGTTCAGAAATTACAGTAATTTTAAACTCAAATGTTAAAAGCAAAAGACAATTTTCAAACAACATTTGTCCATTCACCGACTGTTCAAAGAATTTTCATATGCTTTTTCGTATGAATATTCTCGTCTGAAAATCTACATGTGTATGGCCAGCTTTACTCTGCAAAGCAAGGAGCAATGTATGTTTTATTGTAGGTTTTCCATGCAAGGTCTGCTGAACCGCTTCCCGTCCGGCCCATGTACATAAACTGCCGGACGGGAGCAGTGCCAAAGCGGGTTGCTGGTTATAAACAGCGCCCGCATTAACTGCCTGTGCACGCTCCCTGGCAATCCGGTGCCTGCTGTGTCCAGAGGATACCGATTGCTGTACGGGACCTCTGTGTGAGGTCCTGATTCATGTGATCAGTGAACACATGAATAGTAGTAAACAAGATGTCACTTCCTGACATCATTGCTTACTACTTGTGAAATCTGTGAATGATCACAGAGGTCACATGGTACAAGGATATTCACAACAGCCTTGTACCATGTGACAAGCTGTGACCAATCACAACTTGCACAGTATTTCTCAATGGCTGCAAGAATGCGGCCAGAGAAGGAGAAATGATTGCTTTTACAGCCTTTGTGCATGTAAAAGCAATCAGTGTAAACAAAGAAAAAAAAATCTTCATTACCCCCACAAGTAGTACAGTGTCACTATGGTGACACTGTACTGCTAGGGTGACGGTATGTAAAAAAAAAATAAATAAATAAACATGAAAAATAAAATAAAAATGTAAAATTATAATTTTTGGTTATAAACTAATTTTTTTTTCTTTTTATCAAAAGATAGCTGAATACATTTTGGCCAAGATTTATGAAGAAAGATTATTTATTTGCAAAATGTTTTAAGAAAAACACTTTTTTTTTTTTTCAAAATGTTTGGACTTTTTCATTTATATAGCAAAAAAATAAAAATCCCAGTGGTGAATAAATACCACCAAAATAAAGCTTTATCTGTCTTAAAAAAAAAATGCTAACAAATTCATTTGGGTACAGCGTTGCATGACTGCACAATTGTCATTCAAAGTGTGATAGCGCTGAAAGCTGAAAATTGGCCTGAACAGGAAGGGGGTAAAAGTGTCCGGACTTGAAGTGGTTAAAAACATGTTTAGAATTTTGGTAGTTTTCTACAGTTGTCAAGTAATCCTTCACCCAATGTTCTTCTCTCTAAACACTATGCTGTCTTCTCTTCTATATTTCCTTATGTTGCACTGAACTGATGACATTTGTTTTGCTTACCTGCTGTTGCTTCAAACACAACTGTTGGTCAGGTATAGAAGTTGAAATCATCATGTTGTTTCATGAGCTTTAGTCTACGACGTAAAGTTTATATGCTAAAGGAAGACCTGAATTGTGTAATCAGTGCCCTAAAAAGTAAAATAATAATAAGAATGCCGACAGCAAAAGATGGTCACCAGCATTGCCTGAGGACTTTCTGCAGCCTATATTTTTCTTGTTAGTGAACATGTGAAAGAGGTAGTCTTTGTAGAAGCAGAGCTTTGCTTCCATATGCCAGAACTGCCACACTGATGTCAGGTGACTGGTGGGGAATAACCAAAAGCAAACGGACAGGTAGGGGGGAACACAAAGCCACAGAACTAATTAAGCAGAAGCACAAAAGTCTTTGAACTACAGGTCCTCAAGTAGAGCCTCTGGTCCAGCAAGGAAATCAGTGGGCAGCAGAGAAGTGAGACTAGCAGTCACAGGCAGCAGCACCTGGACCGGATGGCATACACCCACGGGTCCTTAAAGAATTGAGCTCTGTAATTTCAAAGCCATTGTTTCTCATTTTTAGGGACTCTTTAATGACTGGCATAGTACCACTGGATTGGCGTAAGGCCAATGTGGTACCAATATTTAAAAAGGGATCAAAATCTTTACCAAGTAATTATAGACCTGTTAGTTTAACTTCTATAGTTGGGAAGATACTGGAGAGTTTAATAAAAGACCACATAGATAAGTTCTTGCTGGAAAAAAATATTTTAAGCAACGGACAGCATGGATTTATGAAAGACAGAAGTTGTCAAACAAATCTGATTCTTTTATGAGGGGGCTGAGCAAAACCTTGGACAGAGGGGTGGCAGTGGACGTGGTATACTTGGATTTTGCAAAACCGTTTGACACAGTTCCCCAC